CCACTAAGTTCTTCATACCGGGTGAACTGCACATATTTATGACTGATAGCACAGTCCCCTCGTCTGTGTCTAGACTCCAGCTCTAACAGTCATGGAAATCATTGCTGTCAGATACAACCTCTCTGAATGTGCAAGTGCATTAATATTAACACATTAATATGCAGCATGAGAGTGGTCTGCAAAGAACATAAAAGATAATTTCATGACTCAAGAAGTATAGAATTTAACAAAAGAAAATGCTCTATCAGATCTAATACTTGCTGACAGGGGGAAACTCATTCAAAATGGGACAATAATAGGAAATGTTGTGACAGGGCCATTAGGTCCTTAGACAGGGCATGGTAATATAAGGGTCCATGGGCTGAAGTACTCTGCAGAATTATAATTTTACCAAAAAAAATGGGATAATTGAGAAATCTGGAGATAATTGTCTTAACAAAGACAATTAAAAGTTTTATCTTAAAAAGACATCTTAAAAGTTTTATCTCTGGTCAGGGTTTTTAATTGTAAGGGATAACTCCTGAGAAAGGAAAAATGTCAATGACAAACACTTTACACATGACACTGATTAAAAACGAATATGTTCATGACACGTTTCTAAAAAGAAGGAAAACATAGCAAAAGCCAGACGATGCTACATCAACTTCAAACATTTGAAAGCCAAGAAGAAGGATGTCAAAAAGCTATTCAGGTTAATCTGATCACTCTAAAAGAAGGGACATGCAAAGAAGCTGGACTATCTGTCTGGGCCACACTGCTGACTGCTGGTTGACCCACCTAGGCTAGTTCCCTGAAAGCCCATCCAGTGCCCTTCTGTTAATACCACAAGGGATTGTTTATTACTGTGCAGTTGCAGACACGGTGCCTCAGTTAACGTGACTTAGCAGGAGCACCCGGCTCCATGAGCACGTGAGAGACTTGACGATCAACACTTCTTTATAGTCAAAATTCCCCTACTCTCCCCCACCCCCAATATCAAATATCAATAGTTTTAAGCCTTCTTAGTACTATTTTGCTTAAATAAATAAGCAAATAACTAAAGAGGTACATCTACTGTTTTAACAACTTTATCTTATGAGTTACATAATTAGAAAGTCGAATTAAAAGCTTCACGTATCTAATACTTACTATGTCTTCTAGGGGGCCTTGTTTTCCCCTATAGTTAAGGTACTTATATATCTTGTTCAGGAAATTATAAATTCCTCCCCCACTTCCTCATTTTTTCTCTCCTTCCACCCTCAATTCCACAGACTCCCAACATACATATTCAACATGCAAGGCCAAGAAAAGGGTGAGACCTTAAGAGAAAGACCTTTTTCTTCTCAGTTTTACAATAGATAAGTGAATTACTTGATTTATAAATGAAGCCTCTAGAGATGTAAATAGAATAGTGAAGAGCTGATATGAGATATGACATTCTCTCCCACTCACTCAATAAGTACTTCATAACTCACTCGAGACTGGCAAGTTCCATATAATACATTAATATAAAGACTTGAGAAGAATGCCAATAGCTCCCTTTGCCTACATATTTAAAAAAAATTCCACGTGGGAATATAATGGATTAATTCCAAAGTTGCTGAGTTTAGATAGATAAATAGAACAAAAGAGAAGGTACACTCAGGCCAAAGCCATACATATTCTATACCCGTGCAATGCACTTTTATATTTTGAACAGATATATTTTATGAATAGCATTTAGTTGTATTTTTAAAACCTCTTTAAAAATCCAGACTTTAGAAGATTTGACTTTTATTCAGTCTAATCTCCCTCTAATATAAGATGACTCAAAGAAATATTTCTGGCAAATATCCTGAGTTCTGTGCACCATCCTGGGCTGTAAATTCTACCACCCTGCCCCTCTTACTAATTTTCCTAGACTCAGGACATTTAGAATTATCTTCAGAACTAAGCAAACTGTCACCACCAAAACTGCTACCTCCCTGAAAGGAGAAAAATGGTAATGAATTATCCTTCACCCCATTAAGTGTATTCAAATTGCAGAATGCTGCTGCTCACATCAATTTAATGTCAGTTGTCTCTGTCATATTACTGCTTCCACATGACAATACTCTAGTAGTCTGGAAGAGTTAGTATGGCTTCCAAGATCACAACTTATAGATTTCATGGCACAGGTACCAGGAGGTACAGATTTATTTCTCAATATGTTCTTTCTGTCTCTTCTTCCTTAAGTAATACATTTGCCTGTTTCAAGAGTAATTTTTTTCTTTCTCTTTGAAATTTATAGTTAACCAAAGAGTATCTTAAAATGGCATATTTGTGTGTATAAAAAGTTACAAGGTTCACATAAGTGAATCATTAAATATTAGAACTATAGTATACATCTGTGGCCCCCAACCTCCAGACCATGGACTGGTACCAGTCGGTGGCCTGTTAGATGCACAGCAGGAGGTGAGCAGCAGGTAAGCCAGCAAAGCTTCACCTGTATTTACGGCCACTCCTCATCGCTTGCATCACTGCCTGAACTCCATCTCCTGTCAGATCAGTGGTGGCATTAGAATCTTATAGGAGCACGAACCCTACTGTAAACTGTGCATGCTCGGGATCTAGGTTACAGGCTTCTTATGAGAATTGAATGCCTGATGACCTGAGGTAGAACTGAGGCAGTGGTGCTAGCATTGAGAAGCCGCTGCAAATACAGATGATCATTAGCAGAGAGGTTTGACTGCACGATAAATGTAAAGCACTCAAATTACTCCAAAACCATCCTTGCCCCCCACCCACCCACCATCGTTGAAAAAATTATCTTCCATGAAACTTCTCCCTGGTGCCAAAAAGGTTGGGGACCACTGATATAGATATTTTGGTGATAACCTGAGTCAAACTGTATTTAACATGAATGTAGTATCTATCACACTCAAATTTATTTCCATAAATTGACATTTAGTAAATAGATTATCTTAATATATTAAAGTAAAGAACTAAGGTTTAGTCAACTTTCAGGTGGAAAAAAAATACAAGGAAGACCCTTTGATAATACTTTAGAAAGTTTAACCATATTAATAACTCATAAGTACTTATATGCTATATGGCTGATCTAGCCATCTGGTAGATGGCTAGATCTTTAGCTAGACCCTTTGACATCTTTGGCTAGACCCTTTAACACTGTTTAATGCACATACCTCCCAATATTAAATCTTTATAAAAATAAAAATGCCATACTGTTTGGTCATAGGTTGAGAAGTAGCTGTTCTTTGATATAATCCCTCATTCTGTATAAGTAGAGTTGATTGCTTTTTTAAACATGTTTCTTAATTAAATTTTATTTGACTTTTCTGTGTGTATAAATACAGCCTAAGGGGTGTCTTCCCTTCTTCATTCCTACTACTAGCTGCCTCCTGTAGGAAAAAACTGCTAATAACTTATAGGTTATGCATGAGTAAGCATTTGAAGTTCTGTATTATTCATTAATCTGATTGTCATACTTTTTATGTCACTGCTTAGATGTACGACATGGCAGAGCTAGAAAAAATAGTAAGGCATTTTACTGAGACACCAACTTGTTGATTAACGGCTTCTTAGTAATAATACCATAGCTCAGTACTTGTGAGCCTTGGAATCAAAACTGAGTTTAAAATCTGGACCCACTATTTACTAGGTAGATGACCTTGCACAATTTCCTCATTTACAAAGTGTGGGTAATGATAGTACCTTCCTTACAGCACATGTTAAAGGATTGGCTAAGGGGAGTCATGGACGGCATTTAGAATATTGTCTGTCACTGTAGTAGTCATGATTTACTATTTTTAATGGTATATAATTTATATTATCATTTAAAATTAATTACAGAATTTTACACGTTCATATTATCACATTAATTTTAACTATATCATATGTGTCAATTTTACTTATAAAAACATTTAATGCATGCTTTAGGACCTTGTTGGAATTCAAATATATTACTATGAGGAACACAGTACACACATACATACCCAGGAAAGTACAAATGTGATTAAGAATTTCTCCTACTGAAACCATATATCTAATTGTTTTAACAACTTTATTTTATGAGTTATATAATTAGGAAGTCAAATTAAATAAGAGACTCATATTTCTATTACTTAGTCTGTTTCAGATAATAGATAATTCAACAACTAAAAGAAATTTCCAGTCATGCATCACTTAATGATGGGATACACTCTGAGAAATATATCATTAGGTAATTTTGTCATTGTGTGAATGCCATAGAGTGGACTTATGCAAACCTAGATGGTACAGCCTACTGTACACCTAGGCTGTATGGTTTAGCTTGCAGGACTGGAAGTTGTGGGTGAGTCAGTGAGTGGTGAGTGACTGTGAAGGCCTAGAGCATTACAGTACACTACTGTAGAATTTATAAACTCTGTCCACTTAGGCAACACTAAATTTATATTGAAAAATTTTCATTCTCAATAATAAATTAACTTAGCTCACTGTAACATTTTTACTTTACAAGCTCTTTAATTTTTTAAAACTTTTTGACCCATTTGTAATAACATTTAGCTTAAAACACACTGTACATCTGTACAAAAATATTTTCTTTCTTATATCCATATTCTATAAGCTTTTTTTCTGTTTTTAAATTTTTTATCTATTTTTTTTATTTTTAAAACTTTTTTGTTAAAAAGACAAAAACATACACATTAGCCTAGGCTTACAAAGGGTCAGGATCACCAAGACGTCCTGAGGTGATAGGAATATTTCAGCCCCATTTTAATCTTATGGGATCACTGTCATATATACGGTTTGTCGTTGACCAAAATATCATGAAGTGGCGCGTGACTGTATTTGGCCATATAGCTGATGTATGTATATCACCTTCCTATAGAATTGTACCATCTGCCCTCATTCTGTTGCCTCCCAGTGATTTACTAGTTCGTTTCCTAAGTTTCACAAATGACACTGTGAGAATTCTGCTAAGGTTCAGCATTGAGTTCGTAGGAAGTTAAACTTCATTTTCATGTGCAAATAATGTAAGTATCCAAAACTGAGTTACATACCTGCATTCAAAAAAGGTAAGTTGTCTTTGCCGCTCACACTTTCTGGGGCTGTACATTCACATACCAGTGCACACTAGGAAAGAATTTTAAAAAATACATATTTGAAAATAATCCAAATGATAATCTTTTGTTTGCAAAACATGAGGCTATGTATATGGTTTCAAAACGTTTTAAACAAAACATTTTTGTAAAATTATTTCCAACCTACCTTTACTATGAAGAGTATTTAACTGGTGATTTACTTATGTTTATATATAATACGTTTTGTGTTACATAATTATAGACTACGTTTCAGTCCCAGTTAAAGGCTACTCAGGGAAGAAAGTAAAAGGAGGAAAATGATTGTTCCCAACATGCTAGAGATCTGTTCTTAGTACAGCAAATCATATTTGACAAGCTGAATCAGTTTGTATTTCTTTCACTGGGGTTATTTCAGATCAACAGGAAGCAAATTATTTTCTAGAGTATAAGTGATGGCAACTTTAAATAAAAGATAAAAACATGTTGAAGAAACTAATTATATAGGACAAAAGAATATTTTTGTTTTTAGCAAAACAACATAAACACTTGCTCATAAAGTATGGGGAGCATTTATAAATAAGCTGATCTCTGGAGTTTGTAACTAATTGATTAAACCCATGGCCTTTATAGAACTGACATTCTCTGAACAGAAAGAAAAAAGAGACATAGAAGAGCACATTGACATGTTCCTAGTGAATGAGCCTTGATAGCAGAAAATGTCCCAGACAATCCGTCACCAACTGTTGTTACTTTCCCTCAGCTTCCTATAGAACTGAGAGAGGAAACAAAACTCTTCTGGCCCCAGGAGCTTGACAAGAGACCTATTTTCACATAAGCACACTCTGTCATTTGTTTCTTCAAATGAGTTTCCTTCTATCTCTAGCCAAAAACAAAACAAAAATAAACATGGACAGGAGAAGGAAGAGTGCATTTTCAGAGTAAATATATCAGATATAAACAAGTAAATGGAAACAAAACAAAGTCCAGAACATTTTTATAATAATATTTCAGAAGATTTAGGGGGCACACATACAGTTTTGCGTGAATTTATTGTACAGTAGTGAAGCCTCAGCTTTTAGTGTACTCATCACCCGAATAGTGTACATTATACCCATTAGGTAATTTTTCATCCTTTACCCTCCTCCCACCCTCCCACCTTTGGAGTCTCCAGTGTCTTCTATTCTACTCTGTATGGCCACCCATACCCACAGCTTAGCTCCCACTTGTAAGTGAGAACATGCAGTATTTTATTTTCCATTCCTAGGTTACTTCACTTAAGATAATGGTCTCCAGTTTCACCCAAGTTGCCGCAAAAGACATTATTTCATTCTTTTTTATGGCTGAGAAAATTCTTATGGTAAGGAGTTCTAAGGGAAGCAGCCATCTTTTTGTAGATTCTGCATGGCTCTTCTCAGGGGACTCTGAGGGCTCAGGCAAGCTCCCCAAGGTTACAGCAGAATTGCATGAGCCACTTCTCAACTGCTCTAATGGTCCCCTTTGAGAATCATGGACACTGAGGTCGCTGTTAATGATGAAATATATATGTTCTTTAAATATTTGGAAGAGGAAGAAAAATCATTCAAAACATTAAGTTAAATGTTACTTTCTGTATTCTTGCAGTCCACTACTTATTCTTCCATCACAACATTCATCACATTAGTAAATTCCTTGATGGGGAACAATGTGCTTTCATAATTTCTTTACTGAGGTCCTAGTTTACTGAAAGAATGAATGACTGTAAAGAGCTCTTAAAATTTGATGTTCTCTTATTCATTTTCCTGAATACCAGAAGTCAGAGGTGGTCTCTTATTTTAATCTCAGCTAATTTGGAAACACACCTTCCAAATCACTAAAGTGATGTATAATGATGCCTGGAGATACTTGAAATTCTTTATTTCTCCTATTTCTCATATTTCCTCTACTTCTTTCAGCCTATATAGGGCTGCTAAAATAATCTTTCATAAACATTATACTCATCAGTGTTCTACTCTAGCATGTGTAATAACTACTTATTGTCCAATCAAATCTAGTATTTTCAAACTGGTCTGTAAATCCTTTCACAATTTCTCCCTGACATCCTTCCACTTAATAATTAGGTATATAGCTAATAAGCCATCCTCCTTTCCAAAATATCATCATCATCTACAACATAACTTACAGGAATGGTTTAGATTAAACCTTCTTAGTGAAGAAGTCCTTAAGCCATAGAGATCATGCCATTATTCTGAGACACTGCTTTCTTATACAGGCAGCCCTGCCTCCTGTAATCAAAGATATCTTTATGTTTCCTAACAGAAACTCTGTATTATCTTACCACATGCATACAGAAATATGACTTTCACACACTCATATCTTCCATCCAAACCAGAAGGCAGATATTTATGACAATTTGAACCTAATAGAATTATTTTTTGCAACTTTATTGTATTTTTAAATCCTAATATTCAGAATATTCTCAAGAGTTAGAATCATGGCACATAAACAAAAAATATCCAATAAATATTTATGAAAATAATTAACATTTTCCTATTTGGACTCAGTAATTATTTTCTTCAATTGTAGTAACTTATATTGTATAACCTCTGTGTCTTTATTTAGCTGGAACATTTTTTGAAGCCAAGAATCATATTCCTAATTTCTTTTGCTTATTTTATTTAATTTTTTACAACCAACTATAGATTCATTCTCATGCTGTGCCAGATGCTACAGAGAATGTAGAGAGAAAAATGATGTGGCATCTTAAAGAGGCTCAGGCTATATATACTGTTATTTACTATTATCATGATGGATATTTGCAGTGTTACTTACATACTTATATGGTGTGTGCTCTTAATGTAATAACTTCACATTTGTGATTCTGAGCAGGAATAGTAAATGTCATATGCTCTTTGTGTCACACATAGCACCATAAGCCTCTTGATTTCAATGAATACTTAAAAAAAAAAAAAACCTGTCATTTGATGGTAAGAGCCCAAGGAAACACAAGATATGTAAAACTCTTGGAGCTTAGTAATTTTGAATGTCATATCAATTTGCCATGCATTGAGTTAGAAAACTAGCTAAGTTTTAAGAAAAAATGATCATAAAGCTCTGTATGAATCCATCAAAGACCAATACTTGGCAAAGCACTTTTATATTTTATTTCTTAAGTTGTGATTCTCAGGTGTGAGCAACCGCACCCGGCCTAACATTTGCTAGCATATTAACTGTTGAGTATGAAAAGAAGAAAGGAGTCAAAGATACTCTAAAGTTTAAGAAAGAAAAAGTTTTTAGATATCTAATGCATTATTCATATAATATATTTAATAGCTTTGTAAAAATGCAATTTTAGTTTTCTTCTATAATTTTTTCCTTCTACTACTATGTCTGTGATTTTAACACTTTATCTTCTATTTCTATGTATATATATATATCAAAGTTTGAACCAGTCTAATACAATGACTGACCCTCTGAACACTCTTGCCTTGATAAGAAATAGATACTAATAGTTTTGTGGAAACAAGTGGGAATTAGGAATTTATATTTTTATTATATTTTATTCTATGCTCTGAAATTTATGTAAGTTTCAAAATTAAAATGTAGTATTTGATGTTAAAGGTATTGTTTTGGATTGAATTGTGTTCTCCAAAATTCATATGTTGAAGCCCCAACCTCCAATGTGACTGTATTTGGAGATAAGGGGCTTTATGGAGGTAATTAATGTTAAATGAGCTCACAAAGGGGGGCCTTAATCCTACAAGGCTGGTAATCTTATAAGAAAACAAGAAGATCCAGAGCATATGCACAGGCAGTCTCTCTCTTTCTCTCATTTCCTATGTTCATATAGAGGAAAGGCCATCTGCAAACCAAGAAAAGAGCCCTCACCAGGAACTGAATTGGCTGGTAACTTGATCTGGGACATCCTAGCCTCCACAACCCTGAGAAAACGAATTCCTGTTGTTTAAGTCACACAGACTATGGTATTTTGTTATGACATGGAATAGTACAAGTATCATTCTTTTAATATCTGGCTCAATCAACATGAGAGATAGTGTGTCACTCTCATGGCACATGATTATAGTTGCTAATAGAAATTTTATTCCTTTCTCCCAACTCATGCAAACCAGTGAGAGGGAAGTTATTTTAGGAATAATCTCTATTTTAAAAATATATTACAAAATTTAAAATAAAATAAAATAAAAAAGGGGTTGTGGAGGTTTGGCCTGGGAGGGATATGGCCATATTTTAATTTTTTTTTTTTTTTTAAAGAATAAGCTCTATTTCAGTGACTTTCTCTTTCCATCCATGTTAGTCATTCAGGACTTAAATCATTATTAACAGATTGGGTTAATATACTTTATATGCATTTTGATTTAGCAGATATACAGAAGAATCCATGCATTTGCAGTTCTAAAAAATACTCCAGATGATTCTGACCACGCTTTGAAAAACATTGAGATAAAGTCATTGACACAGTAAATATCATGCATATTGGGCCTTACTACAAATCTCAACCATGAATATTCTTAGGGAATGCCAAGGGAGCATGTAGTCACTTTATTAAAAATTTGCAAAAGGTCAAGGTTTACAAAGAATCCAGACAGGGTGGAGCTGATGCTAATAGTGTTTGGTGTGTTTACCATTTTAGTTAGCTATGACTCACACACGGTGTGTACTGCCATTGCCACCTCCTATTTCTAGAAAAGCTCTTTTTTAAGTTCACATTGCTGAGCCAGAAATATTACATGGGACTTTGGTGGGGCATATTCCTAGGTATCAAGTTCTCCATTTATGAAAATAGCATGATTCAATTTGCGCTACCTTATAATACACTATAGTGACACAGTCTGGAGTGAGGGGTGGGCCAGCTTTGAAGAGAATGGAGAGGTGGCTCATAATAGAGCCAGAGTCAGGGAAAGGAGGAGCTCTATTTTAAAATGGGAAGTATTCCTGCTCGTGGTTTCCTGGTGCATAGCTACAGGTCCAGGCATGAGTATCTGCTTATTTTTGCTCTCATACCCCAGCTTAGCCTCCAAATCTCTCTCCTTGATCTTGATACAATTTATTCAAGTGGTAGTGACAAAGATGAATCTCATACATAACTCTAAAGGGAATCATAGGACCCAGCCCCAAGACAGAGGTCTTGAATGCACAAAGCCAAAGAGGATCTGTGCCAAAACTTCACCACAGTACTCATATTAGCAAACAATCTGAATTAAACTTTGGGCCTCCTTAGAATATCTTCATAATGTGGGGTATGTTACAGGAGAGAAGTAGAAGAACAGAGAAGAGCAAGCTTTGGGGCAGCAGAGAAGACTCTAGCCTATTCTGGGGGAAAAATAAATTTAAAGGGAAATCTTAGATATTTTTGTAAAGTTAATTATTTTTTAACTGTTGAATTAATATCTCCTCCCATGCAGATGTTTCCTAAGTACCAAAAATCAAATATGCTCCAAGATAAAAGACAGTAAACCAGAAAATAAGTCATAACGACCTTTATCATTTAAAAATTATTCACTTACAAAAATTTTCCCCTACAATCACAAACAAGACAAGGATGACCTCTCTCACCACTTCTATGCAATATAGTACTGGAAGTTCTAGCCAGAGCAATTACACACAAAAAAGAAATAAAAGGCATCCAAATAAGAAAAAGAGAAGTGAAATTGTCTCTGTTTGCTGATAACATCACCTTATATATATAAAAAAACCACTAAAGACCTCCCAAAAACCTGTTAATACTGATAAGCAAATTCAGTAAAGTTTCAGGGTACAAAATCAACACACAAAAATCAGTAGCATGTCTTTACACTAACAACAAACTATCTACAAAAGAAATTAAAAAATCAATCCCATTCACAATAACATCAAAAAAATACTTAGAAGTAAATTTAACCAAGGAGGTGAAAGATCTGCATACTGAAAATTATAAAACATTGATGGAAGAAATTACAGATGGCACAAATAAATGGAAAACTATCTTAAGTTTATGGATTAGAAGAATTAATAGCATTAAAATGCCTATACTACATGACCTAAAGATTCAATGTAATCTGTATGTCATTCCAATATCATTTTTCACAGAAATTTTTTTAAAAAATCATAAAACGTGAATGGAACTACAAAAAAACTCCAGTAGTCAAAGCAACCAAGTAAAAAAATAAAGCTAGAGGCATCTCATTGCCTGACTTCAAAATCTATTGTTAATACAAAGCTATAGTAATCAAAACAGCATAGCAATAGTATTAGTGCAAAAATAGACACATTGACCAATGGAACAGGACAGAAAGCCGAGTAATAAACCCACGCATATACTGTCAATTGATTTTTGACAAATGTGCCAAGAACACACAATGGAGAAAGAGCAGTCTCTTTACTAAATGGTATTGGGGAAACTAGATATAAACATGCAGAAGAATAAAACTGGATCCTTATCTCACACCATGTTCAAAAATCAAAATGAATTAAATAAATGTAAGCCCTAAAACTGTAAAACTATTAGAAGAAAACATAAACGAAATGTTCTGTGACAGTAGTCTAGGCAAAGATTTATTGGACATGACTCCAGATGCACAGGAACAATAGCAAAACTAAATAAATGGAATTGTATCAAACTAAAAAGCTGCTGTATAGCAAAGAAAACAATAAAAAGAATCCTATGGAATTAGAGAAAATATTTGCAAACCATCCATCCAATAAGGGGCCAATATCCAAAATATGAAAGAAACTCAACTCAATAGCAAGAAAACAACTCAATCAAAAAATGGGCAGAGGACTTAAATAAACACTTCTCAAAAGAAAACATACAGGTGGCCAACAGATATATAAATATATAAAACGCTCATCATCACTGATTATCAAGGAAATGCAAATTAAAACCATAATGAACTATCACTTCACACCTGCTAGAATGGCTATTATCAAAAGGTTTGAAAGATAACAAGTGACAGGGGTGGTATGGAATAAAGAGTACCCTTCTGCACTGCTGGTAAGAATTTAAGTCAATACATCCATTATGGAAAACAGTATGGAGCTTCCTCAGAAAACTAAAACTAGAATTATCCCATGACACAGCAATCCCATTCTGGGTATGTATTCAAAGCAATTGAGAACAATATACTGAAGAAATACCTGCACTTCCATATTCACTGCAGCATTATTCACAATAGCTGAAATATGGAAGCAGCCTAGGTGTCCATCATCAGATGAATGGATTGAAAATGTGGTATATATACACAATGGCCTTAAAGAGGGGGGACATTCTGTCATTTGTATCTAGACAACATGGATAAACCTGGATGACATTATGCTAAGTGAAATAAACCAGCCACAGAAAGACAAATACGATATAATCTCACTTATATGTGGAATCTGAAAAGGTCAAACCTGTAGAAGTAGGGAGCAGAATGATGGTTACTAAGGGCTGGGGAGGAGAGTGGATGGGGAAAGGAGAGATGTTGATCGGGTACAAAAACCTGCAGTTAAATAGGAGGAATAAGTTTTAGTTACCTATTGCACAGAGGGTGACTATAATAAATAATAGTGCATTGTATATTTCAAAATTGCTAAAAGAGTAGATTTTAAACATTTTCATCACAACAAAATAAGTATGCGTGGTGATGGATATGTTAGCCTGATTTAATCATCCCACAGTGTAAACATACAACAAAATGGTACATTGTACCATGTAATAATATATAATTTTTATTTGCCAATTAAAAATGGCATTAAATGTTTTTAAAAGGTATTAAAATGTTTTAAAACATTTGAAAAGGTCACTTTTGAAAAGGTAGAAATTACAGTATATAAAAAAATTCATTTTCCTAAAATAATCTATTAGCAGTTTTTAAATCTGTCCCATGTGCTTCCATTGCCTCAATAAAATAGGCAATTGCTTTTCTAAGAAAGGAATTAAGACCAATATTTATACTGAGTTGCTCTTTTCTAGGGAAAAGGAACAGAAAAAAGAGAAAATCCTGGGCACATATTTATATGCATCAAGCCTTTATTCTGGGCTTCTCCTCCAGCTGGCATTGTGTGTCCTTCAGAGCTGTTCATTTGCCATATTCTACTTTTCCAGAAATTTCATAAGGCACAAAGTTCCTGTTAAATCTGCCCTCCCTCACATAAAAATGAAATCCAAATCAAAATTTTATCTCTTTCCAAAGAGGGTTTGGGAAGTAGAGAACAAGTTATTTTGGGCAATAGCCCTCTCAGGATCTTCTATGTATGTCACGCAGGGTTAATTATGGGAGAATGAAACAGTGATCAATACCGCTGTTGCTGGTCCAACTGAGAAGAGGCAGTGTCAACAAGAGAGCTGGCAGGGAAGTGGAAGGTGCTTCTGAATGGAACAGTGCTTTGCATAGTTCCATATGAATGCGCCCTTTGGTTCAGAGGATGAAACACACATATTGTACTCTAATTCCAGAGATGATTTCTCATTTAACTCTTGAATAATGAGATTTTAAACCCCACAGAGGTGCTGGTGATACAAGCATCTGGCAAGTCTGATCATCTCTTAATTTGATTTGTGTAATGAGCTGACCAAGATCCTACCTTTTGTCCCTGCACATCTGTTGTGATGTGGTCGGCTTCCCCATCCTCAATCTCCCCCATCTTCACGACACTGACTTCTATGGTGCCAACCACTTTGCCACCATCTGAAGTTCTGCAATAGAAATAAAGGAAATGAGATAGTAAGAGTCTTCCCTCTCCTCAAAACATATCCAAAACACGTTTGTTTCTGAAAACCACTAGCATTGCTATTTGCTTCATTTAATTAAACAGATCTGCTTGACATGCAGCAAAACATGTTAATAGAATTGGTGTTTTTAATGTCAAATGAAAATTAACTATAGATTCGTGAGGTCAGACCATGAACTGTCAAAAACTACCTCATGAAGATGAAACCTTCTCAAGGCTCTCAGGAGTAACCTCAAGGAAAAAACATGGTGCCATGGGTCAATGCGCTACTTGCAACCATCAAATCTCTACGACCACGTAAACCACAGACCCTCTGTACCAACTGCATTAGACATTGCACATGTCTACTGCATAAACTGTGGCTGCATAAAATGGAAAAGAGTATAAACATTCCTCTATTCCTTTATGGTTGGGCCATTGGCTACAAAATCTGACTCTGTGCCCTTTCCCTAACATTTTTCTAAGAGATTAGGCAAAGAAGACTCTCTCCTAATAAACATAAGGTAGGATTGAAAGCAAATTGTAACCCTAGAGCTCATTTAGCATAACCCTTTACTTTTCCAGATAAAGAAACTGAGACCCAAAAACATGAAAAACATTTTCTAAGGTAACAAAGCGGCAAACCCTGGTTTCTATCTTTTTCGAGTCTTTTTGACCACTGACGACTCTTCTATATTTAATGATGATAATAACTTTATTACTAAGATTTTCATCATTATTTTTATCAGCATAAAAACTTTATGGTTGGCAATAATAATGAAAGATAAAAGTAAAATTGAGAACCATCATATTTTAAGATTCTCTAGTTGCTTTTTCTGGGCAAGAAAATCTACGGAATTAATAGTGCCATTACACTATGAAAGCACTGTGACACATAATGATATTTTTCCCTTGAGTCTTATTGTGAAAATAGGTGGCAAGCTACCCCATAGGTATGATATGTTGCTATAACTTCTGTCTAAGCAGAATTGACTGAATAAGTGGCCGTACGACAATTCATCTTCTTCATTAGTCATGTTCTTTTATGAAATGTGTTTTTAACTTTAATCTGAATACCAATGATGTCTTTCTTTCTTTCAATCAAGTTCCTTGAAATGCTGCTATTTTATTATTAGAGGTGTCAGAGAAGAGGAGTATGAAAATTAATATAGTTTACAAAAATACTAATTACAATAATTAATTAAGTGAAAAGGAAACCTGATTATGTTACTAGATAAGGTACAAATGAAAACACACTTTTTGTTTTTAAGTAAATTGAAATAGGATAATTCTGGTGTTATGTACACAGCTGATGTCATAGTACAATAAAATGATATACATAGAAAAAGAAAAGTGATTTATTGTTATAGTATAATAAGATGTCTTACTAAAATATGAAGTAAAATGGTTCTTGGAGATTTTAAAATAAATGGAAATCATAATATTGACTCGATTATTTGAAATTAATATAGAAAACTTAAAGATTCATCACAAAGAATGTATGTATACAGGTGATAATATGATTGATCTGTAATATTATAGAAAACTATATTAGCTCCAACTCTGGGATTGTTTTAAATAATTCATTATACCATTTTTATTTGAATATGACATAACCTGTCACAGTCATGATGTGGTATATCTCTGTATGATTCTCTAGTACCTATCAGTTATATAAAGAATTTAATAAGAACTCTCATTGGTACTACTAATAATTCTTTCTAGAGATATGCAGATTTTTTCCCAAAAAACCTGATTATTTATAAAAAGTAAAGATTGTTTTTCTTTTCAAAATAATTATTTAGAATTTTTTGCTTGAGAAAACAAGCTAGCTTAAGTGCTAGGAATGCAAAATCTATTTATAACATTCTAATTTTTTTCACTGAACTAATCCAAATAATGCACCAAATGGTGTGAAAGAGTAGGTAGATTTTTCACAGCTGTGTAATAAACTGATATATGCCATAATGGCTAAAGTGTAAACTCAAGAGTTTGAGTTATCTGCTAGTGGCATGACCTTGGACGAGTCACTCAACCACATGAAACTTCGTTTTCCTCATTTGTAAACTGGAGATAATAACCTTGTTTTAATAATTAGATTATGAGAGATGATTAAAATGCTCATCAGCACAGTGTCTTACACAAGATAATTGTAAGGCACCCCCCCAATCATCCTAGTAGCAGTATTGGAGCAAGAGCAGTAGCAGCAAAAAGAGAACTGGTACACTCATTAATGTATTACTTTATATTCAATTTGATTCTCTCTAGAAATTTTACTGAAATAGATATTCTAGTCTACAGTAAAAGATTATTAATATTTCATGGTATATGCATCACAACAGTGATTAAATACTCATTGGAAATACAAAGAATTAGTAATAACAGATGATATTATGAAGCTTGCATTCCTAGTAGACTCCAGAGAACACAAATTTACTAATTACAATGCAAGTGAATCTTTCAAAAATACTAAAGTAGACAAATAAGCAATGCACTATGAGAGTAAATTTCTGAACTATAGCTCCACCCATTCCCTTTACAAAAGTATCTGGCTAGTTTTTCAATGATTTTTATGCCTTTTAGGTTTCCCAATTCTCTTTATCTCCCTGAGTAGAATCCAAGCAAGAAGCTTGCTTAATCTTGTGACACTATAGTAGTCTAGCATCAATTTTCCCCAAAACTATTTTGGATAAGCAACTGTTTTGAGAACCTTAAAGTCTGTCTCCTTGTCTGAGATTTGTGAGAAACAGAATGGTGAATCCAGGTTATAAACTAAAGAACTGAACCCAAGATACTCAAAAGCATGGTTCATCCTGTCATTGAACTTGAAAGTAAAATGTAGAAGTAAGTTCTTGTTTATTCTGTAATAATTTACCACACAAAGAGTACAGATATCAACACTTTTATCAATCAGGAGAATCACAAATGAATTATCTATTTTGTGTTCCCAACAGTCCTTTCAAAAATGACTTCATAGAGATTTAGAAAAAAGAAATTCATTCCTACTTGCTTAATTATGTGTTCAATTTACCACCCATTAGGTTGTGGAAGCGAGTAATAATAGCTTAACCATTATTCATCACCAAAATTGCACCAAATTTTATCTAATGGAAATTCATTACATCTGCACAGAAGATACATTGAAGAGAGTTCTTGGCTAGGAATCAAGAAACGCAAGCTCTCCTTCCAACTCAGCTACTAACTAGCTATGTGACCAAGCACATATCACTTCAGTTTTCTGCATTCCAGTCTCCTTTACTGCAAAACAAAGAGTTGGTCTCTAACAGCTGTGCCATAGTATCAGCACTCAAACCCAATGCTCTAATCACGCCTGTGGTTCCATCAAAGGCTTCATAAGCTATTACAGGTTGGCATAGACTCCAGAAAAATCTCAGGCACACCCTAGGGTCTCCTCCTCACTCCACACCTTCCCATCCTACTTTCCCCCAAGACAAAGCAAACGCATGGCAAACCTGAGAAGTAACTTAACATTTATAGTCAAATGAAAAAGAAAAAAGGCTAGCTTATCTTATGTCATATATTATATATATTTTATATAGATGGCCATTATAGAGCTGCATGTTGGTATTTTTATATAGATACAAATTTTACAGAACCCAAAACAGAAATGATGTTCGTGCCCTTTCCTACAAATTTGTGTGGTAGTAAGGTGGGGCTGCAATAATGAATATCTCAGTCTACATAAGAAAAAAACAACTATGTCATTTCAGACAGTCTATTGCCAGGTCATTACCACTGTTAATACAGAGAGCTAAGAGAGAAGCAAAAGATGGATAGTTCGTGGTCACTACAGTATTTCAATCACAACATCAAGTTCTTCCCTCCCTCAGAAGATGGACTAATATTTCACCATGTCAACAATATATGGAAGACAAAAAAGGGAGAAATTTCAGCAACACGAATCTGCACTCCCTTCTTACCTAGGTTTTCAGCATACATAATACATTAGTGATTAAGGTTCTTTAAAATATGCCTTTAAAATAACTCCCCTAATGCTTCCTAATGAAATATTCAATCCCACATGGTGAAACATACAAATATTTTTAGAAGACTGAAGGAAAAGGAATGTAAAATAATTTTCTAACAAAGAACAATTTAACGACGACACCCTTTCTCTAAACTTCTTTCCCACCTATTCTGCCATCCTTAATGGAGGGGGAAAAAAACCACCTCTGGAAATGTTAAATAGCAAAGTATAAATAACTCCTCTATTTTGGAAATGCCACAGAGATACAAACCAACAAATGACTCTGTAAATATCCAGGGAAAAACCATCATTAGCAATGTCAGTCTTTGTGAATATAAAGTAGTCCTGGTGCTATGCACGGGAATCTTCAGCTGCAAGACATGCCTTGCATTTAAACCGTCTAGATACATAACTAGGAGATGAAAATCTCACCCAGACAGGAAAATAAACAAGGGCCATAAGTAAACAAATGTTGTCAGTATGTGAGTGAGTGCACTCGATGATCTTTCTGGTGAATACAATTATACAACAATGCTACGTTTGCTTAGGGCTCACAGAAGTTAGAGTTCTATTTAAGCATGTATAACTAAACACACCTCTATTCTAGCTGAAATTCACAAATGACAGAAGCCATAAAACACTTTCAAACTTATAGTAAAATAAAGCCTTTCAGTAGTTCTTAATATTAATAGTTTATACACACTAAGGTTTAGCCCTTGTTTTTCTGCTCTTTTCTCATAATAAGCTGACCTTTAGAAATTCCATCCATTATCATGGAGGGATTCAATTATCCTTTTATGAAGATCTGCCACAATTCTATATTCACAACTTGCTCCGATTTTCTGATCTAGAACTCCAAACTCTTTTTATCCTGATCCTGTCATTTTACATTCTACAAGCTTGAGACCTAACCCTAAATTTTCTCAAATCTGAACTCACACGTATCAATAGCATGTCATTCTCCAAAAATGAAAACTAATACTCCATCTCTACCTCGG